CTCCGTTTGTGTGGCCTGGTTCTTAGTACGCGGCGTGGTCTCCTCAGATGGTAGAGGTGGGATCTTGTCAGGTACTTGGAAAGATCCGATGATGCCTTCAAGCGACCACTCCGGAGAGGCCCAACGCGGAGAAACTGGTCAACTGAGCCGGGGGTCGGTCTCTCGCAGTGCCCACGTCGGCGGTCTTGTCTTCGGTGCGGTAGTGCGTTCGAGGGGAACCAGCTTCCACTCCGTCCGATTGTCCTCGATTCTGCTGTCTGTCGCCTTAGGAGTTGGTACCGGCTTGCCGCTTGGCCTTTAGCCGTCTCGTTGCGGCAATCCTTCTTGGGGCCGTCTTCCTCCGTAGAGGAATGTCGTAGCCTACGGCGGTGCCGGGCGATGATGCTGTATTCGGCGGCAGCTTGACGACTTTTCTGTAGCTTCCTCAAAAAGACTTGATGCCTTGTTAGCGTACTCGTCGCAGCGGACTCGTTGCGGGGAGTGCCAAGAGCGATCCAGATCTGCCTTTCATCGCAAAATTCGGGCTTACTAATACCCCGGTGAACCGTTTTTCTCTTACGAGAAAATAGGCCTCCTGGCGGATTGTTTAAACAATTTCCGTTTGCTCGTGCAAAGGTCGCTGTCTGTGGCGCTCTCGCGGGGGTTGCTTGCACTATGGGTAGCCCTTGTTCAGGCGCAACATGATTATAATAGTGTAATTATTTCTCAAATAACGCGTGACGCGCGCGTCAAATGACGCGCCCATGAGTAGGTAACTTTTTTAACGCACGCGGGCAAGTGCGATCGCGTTTTCTTTGGGTTGCAAGCTTGACGGCGAATTCGTGCGCCAAGTGGTGTAGACCCCGTGTTACAGTAGTCATTTCGGACGAGTAATGATATGCGCGTCGTGACGGCGAATTAATTTCTCTTCCTCCTCGTTAAAAGTAAGTCGATCTCGCGATCTTCTCGCGATGATCAAATGTCAGAAGTGTCAAGCAAATAATCGGGCACGTAAAGTAAACCTTAATTGTTGCGCACTACCGGGGCATACGT